CGTCCCGTGGTTATCTGCATTAGCTGTCTCGTAGTTATCTGCACTAACCGTCCAGTGGTTATCTGCACTAGCCGTTCCGTGATTATCTATACTAAACGTCCCGTGGTTATCTGCACTAACCGTCCCGTATTTTGGACGCACATATTAAAGGGTAGGAACTTAGGTTAGTCAACATGCGCACACCACCAACTCTTGGATTTCTCTAATCGAATAGCAGAACTTGACCGTCACATTTATAGCCTATCTACGGCCCCGAACTAAGGAGGGCAATTTTGCAGCAATGGGACACAAACCTTAAACCTCATGGTTAACAGTCCGGTACGCTAAACATTAGGCTATGTCTAATCTACGCTACAAAAGTGACAGTCAAATACCAGTATTCAGTCAGACAAGAGTAACTCAAAACTAAGGATGTTTACGGGCAGATAATTGTTTGTAGCTTTGCGCAATGATTCTGAAACAAACAAACTAGTCAATAATTTTTATACATTATTCTTCTTTTTTATTTAAACTAACAATCTGCTGTAACAACACAAAAGCTTTAAAATATTTTAATACTAATTTTTTCGCAGTCTTTTATGTGAAAAACAAGATTTAGTTCAAAATTTAATTAAAGGATATTTACTGAAAAAAAATCGTTATATCAGCAAAATGAATATGACGTATGTTATCATTCAACAGAGATCATCATAAGCCAAAAAATAATAATAATTTTTTTTTTTTACTCTTAACTAACTCAAGCCTTCCCAGTGGGTTTGCGGTAAGTCTGAGGATTCATACCGCTGAAAACCGGGTCTCAAAACACAGCACGGACAACCCATTGTGTAGCTTTGAGCTTAACAATAAAACAATAACAAAATCAACAATTAAGAAACAATTAAATGAGCTTTTGCGAAGTGATTTTCTGTGTAATCAAAGTTTTGTGGGTTAAACTCCATAAAATTAGTTATCAACAAAAAGATAAAGAACAGATTTGTTGAATATTTAGTTTGTGTATGAATACCTATCACCTATTATCATACGTCAAAAGAATAAAATCTACATCAAACGAGTTTGTTCGCTCAACTGATTACTAATTCTATCTATCTTAATTTAATAATTTTACAGTAAGAGTATTGTCGTTGGTATAATATATATGATATTTTATTAATATTTTAGAATTTATGATAAAATGTACGAAATAATTGCGAGAACTATGTCATAACTAGATATATATATATATATGTGTGTGTGTGTGTGTGTGTGTTTGTTCCAGTGTGGTTTGTTTTGAATTTTGCGCAAAGCTACACGAGGGCTATCTGCGCTAGCTGTCCCTAATTTAACAGTAAAAGGGAAGGCAGCTAGTCATCACCATCCACTGCCAACTCTTGGACTACTCTTTTACCAACGAATAGTGGAATTCACCGTCAAATTATAACGTCCCCACGGCTGAAAGGGCGACCATGTTTGGTAGAACAAGGATTCGAACCCGCGACTCTCAGATTGCGAGTCAAGTTCCTTAACCACCTGGCCATTCTGGGCTGCTCCAATGTGGATGGGTGTAACTTGTTGGTTAGTCTGCTTGGACTGTGAAGTAGAGGGTTCATGGGTCGCGGCCTGTTGTCATTAAAACGCACTCTGCACTTTGGAGCTTTTGATGCGCTATAAGAGTGACGGTCAAAACCACTATTCAGTTAGCCAAGAGTTTGGCGATCCTTTTATTCTTACAGCTCAAAGTTAAAAATGGCTATGCGCAAATGGAGTTTTGTGTAATTAAAAGTCTGGAACAAAACATAAACAGGTGACCAAATGTTCTTTGTGCTAGTTTTATTTATGGACACATAGATATTCTATGTTGTAAACATATATTCCACGATAATGCATGTTAATTGATTGCAATTTGTCATTTGGCTGAAGAGCAGAATTAGACTTATTTGTATCATGATTCAAAAAACAAAAATGGATTGCTTGTTTGTTTGTTGCTAAGCGCAAAGTTAGCCAATGAGCCTATGCTGTGAAGTTCGGTGTAAGAATCGGCTGAGTTGAGAGAGGCAAGAAAGTGGCAGACTTTTGGTTCATAGCACTACGTGGTTAGAGAGGTATTGGAAGAAAAAAATCGAAACAATCATGACAGGGAATTACTTTTTAAAGAAAAAAAAACTTTCCCAAACTTAGGTGTTCAGGGATGTTAGTATCCCCCTCGCGATAAATTATTTGTTAAAATCGTGAACTAAATAAAGTTAGTTAAATAGACTACTCAGCTATTTCCCTGTGGTGAGTTTGAAGTCTTGAGATTGAAGAAGTGTCTGGAGGATCCAGTGACAGAGAAAATATCAAGGCCGATGACATCGGTGAAGAGAAAAGAAGAAACAAGAGAACAAACTTTCGACAAGCCACACTGTTACAATTTAATTATTGAATAAGTGGCCGTCTTTCTAAGTTCAGTGGATTTGGAAGCTACAAGAACCATTATGGTTATAAGACGTTTTAATCCGATATTAGGAGAACAGGTCTGTTGGCGTGATTTGGAGAAAGACAAAACAAAAAAGAAAAAGAAAATCAACGAGAAAAAAAAAAGAAACAGATGTGATAACGGACTAATAAAGAAAGAGGCGAAGGAAAATATGCTGCTAATAAGAATCAAAACTAGTTCTAAACGTAATCTTCTTATGTGTTATTTATATAGTAAAAAACAGAAATTAATATTTGGTATGGGTCAATTCCTGATATAAATAAGTAAAACCCTAATAAAGTTTAAGGGAAAGCAAGGTGCTAGTATAGCACGATCATCACAAAGTTGACCCGCAACAAAATGGTGTCAGAAGTGGTCTACAATAATAAAATATCAGAATTGAAATTCACCAATTCGTCAGTGAATTGAAACCCAACAATGAAAAGGTTTGAAGCTGTAACCACTTCAATAAAAGCTAAGGGTTGTGTGGGGGTTGGGATTCAACTGGATGTAGCCGTGAAGTCGGGAAAGAGAGTAAGTTTCCGTTTTGTTCTTGTCTTGCCTATTTTGGTTTGACACTGGCTCAGTTAAGTTCTTACCAGTTTAAAAAATTATGTTTTTCATTGTTTAAGGGTAGAGAGTTAACGTTAGCATGGATTAGAATTGAAAATCACTGACAAAAGGTCAGTTTTTAAATAAACGTAAATAACATGGTTTAACGTGTAGGAGCAATCGGAAAAAGAAAGATTAGGTACGTGAAGTTTTCATTGAGACGGGAATCACAATAGATGATTCTACTAACCGCAAACTTAGTTAAATTACAGGAGGTTACGAAGGTTATCATAATAACGATTTAGAATTTGCTAATATAAATATTTAGAAGTGAAAACATAAAAGCTGAGAACAGACGATTGGAAGTAGAAGCTGAGAATTAACACTTGAAAATAGAAGTCAAGAATAAAATAAACATTTAGAGTTAGAGTTAGGTATAAGCAGAAATAATTCGAGTTGATAATTAGTGGAAAGCATAGTAATTTTGGTGAGAGCATGCAGGAAAGAACCACTCATGTGCAGTTACCTAAATTTTTCGAAAGCAATATATATATACATTATTCTATGCTTTTGGAAAAAAATAGCGAGAGTAGAGAAAAGGTAGCCACAGGATAGGGTGTGGAAGTTATTCCTGCGTTACCTGAAAATAGAATTGTGAGTGTATATATATTAAAGTATGATATAGTGAAGTGTAGATATGTTAAAGTATGATGTAGTGAAGTGTGGATATATTAAAGTATGATGTAGTGAGTCACTGAAGGGTACACACTTCAACGTTTGTTTGTAGTTAAGCACAAAGATACGCAATGGGCTATATGTGTTGTGTCCACCATAAGTATGGAAACCCGGTTTATAGCATTATAAGCCTTCAGACTTACCGCTGAGTCACTGAAGGGTACACATTTTGTATATAATAAATAAATTTCAAATATTAAACATCAATATACATATATGTATTAAGCATTTTAACAAATAATGTTAATGAAATTAACATTAATGAAATATAAGCTTAACGATTGTAATATACTTCACACGAACTGCAAATATTTTTCAAATTCCTCTTAATTCGTCCTTTCCAGAGACAAAAGATAGATTTTTAAGTGCTATATTACGGATGTCTGAAAAGGAATCCGAACTGGTTAAATTAAAAACAATGCTAATAAAAAGAAACATCTACAGTTTAAGTGATATTTATCACAAATGTTAGATCCAGTGCTTTTCCCAAATTTCAACACTTAAGCCTATTTTTTTTTTAAGGAATGAAATACAGACTGTATAACTTCACTTGCAAAACACATAAAAGATATTCATTTAATACAGACTATAATATATTTGTTTACTTCAGGCGCTATAACTGATTCCGATTCCTAGAACAGCAGAACACCAGTATACAACATATTTTATATTAGCCACCAATGAAAAATACCCATTAAGTAACTCTGACATTGCAACTTGCAATGCATGTTAGTTACTTAGGAATGATGTAATTCTTTTATTTTGCATTAGATAATTAAGATGGAACCTGTTGAATTCCGAAACGTTTATCTGTGTGTTATCTTATATTATAAGTAAAGAATGTTGTTTATTTTAAGTATCTCTATCCTTTTTATTGTCAATGTAACTAAATTAATGACGTAATTATATATTTCGTAAGGAACTGTTTTATAATTTATAATTACTGGCTATAGAGAAAACTAACAGTGGTAGTAATACTAAAGTTTTTCATTATTACCTTGAAGATATCGCTAGTATAAACAGTAACAAGAAGATGGTTGAATTTACCACAAAAAACGGGATAGATCTTACGTTTGAAATACTATATGAGAAACCTCGTTCGTGAAAAATTAGCGTAATTTTATGAATGTTAACCAGGAAATTTTGTAATGTTGACCGAATTATATTGTATCTCAAGCTGTGAAACATAAAAACAATAAATTATGGCATAATTATTTAGAATATTCGTATCAAGATGTTGTATGATAAATTACGTCTTTCACAAACATACCTTATATTTCAGATCCTCCTGGCCTAACAAAGGTACTATCAAAAGAAGAAAAAGTGGTAAAAGGAGATTCAGTGACCCTGTACTGTGAGATTAGTGACCTGGGATTTCCACCGGCTAGTACCTTTCGGTGGGAAATGAACGATTTAGTGTTGAATACCACATCAAATTTTTATGTTAGCCACCCCATATCTGTAGCTACTGAAGGTAATTACTCGTGTGCTGCAGTAAATCAAGTGGCCATCGGTAATACAACACCTTTCAAACTGGATGCTTTGGGTAAGATCGCAATAGTAGGATAATCTTTTGTATAAAATATTTGTTTATAAATTTATTTTAGGTAGCAGTTCAATAATTCAGGATTTTTAATCGTCCTGTATTCTTGGGTTAGCTTATTATTTCACAAGCTCAATAAGGCTTTATTATAGAATATAAATAAGCTTTTCTACAAACTATTTAGAAGTATAAGTTTTGTTAATCACTAGAGTATGAAACTTAAAGGGTTAAATGTTATTACAGAAGCTCTATAAGAACCAGCTGAAATATGGCCAACATTTTAATTTATCAATATATTATGATTACAATTGTAACAATGCTGGTGAGAATAGTAGTAAAGAAATCTTCTCTGTGCAGCTCCTCCAAGGTTAGTAGAAGAACTTCCAAGAATTGGTGGAGCTTTGCGCAACCTTCAGTCTGTAAACTTAAAGTGCAGGGTTGAGTGTGAACCTTTATGTGGCATTACCTGGTACCGAAACAATGAAAGCCTAAATGGATCCAAGTTCTTTACTATAGAAACATTCCAAGAGGCACCAGATGTTGAAAATAACACGTTTGAGTCTGTAGTTAGCATTTTATCTTGGAATATGAGGCATTTTCCATCTGAGAGTTTCGACTTCAATAACTTTACCTGTAAAAGCTCAGAAAATGAAGTGGGTGACAGCGTCTCAAGCAGCATGATTTTCCGACTGGAATGTAAGTAGTTTTTCTCATTGCTCTTCTTTATTGATCATGAGATCAATATTGTCTTTCCATAACTATTTGGCTAATGCATTGGGTTACGGCGTCACCCAGAATTATTGCTTTACGCCTCATCTCTTTGTAGAAGTTTTTGTACTCAATGTTATTCCATTTCTTTATTTTATGAGTTGGGTTTCTCAATGAACGTTCACGCTAAATATCGGGGTTGTGCAACTTTGAGGTTAACAACAAAAACTTCATGAGCGTTGTATATAGTATGGTATACAAGACTGGAATGAATTATTTACATAATCCCAGCGAATTTCTTGTAGATTCTTATTTAGTTACATTTTAATGCATCATTGATGGTTTGAATGCTTAATTTAAGGCGTATTTATACATTTATCAATCTACCCGATCTTTTTTTTTAATTATTATATGTTAATTACAGTGCTCTATGATAAAGTATTTATGCTTGATGTAAAAAAAAAACTGATGTATTTTAAGTTTTCCTTTTACAGTAGTTTAGTCTATATTGCTTTTACTTGTTTTACAGTAGTTTAGTCTATATTGCTTTTACTTGAAATGTAGTCCTGATAGTTATAGAAAAGAAATATATTTTACAAATTCGGAACACAAGTTTACCCAATTTTACAAACAACTAAACTATGTATGTTTGAGATGCAAAAGTTGAAGATTGATTTAGCGGTAAGTCTGAAATCTTATAACGCTAACAACCGGGTTTCCATACTTATGGTGGACACAACACATATAGCCCATTGCGTATCTTTGTGCTTAACTACAAACAAACGTTGTTGTATGTTTTTGATATGAGGGTTATTTTGACATGTTAGCTTAGATTATTGATATGAGGGTTATTTTGACATGTTAGCTTAGATTATT